CTCCCCATCCAGACCCTCACGGCCTCCAGGCACCGGGCCATCACGTCAAGGGCATCGTTGGGGTGGCCCGGGGTGGATATGTACAGCTGAGTGTCGTCAGCGTACTGATGGAAATCCACCCCGAAGCCACGAATGATCTCCCCCAGCGGCTTTACATAAATATTGAACAGAAGAGGAGAGAGGACCGACCCCTGTGGAATCAATATATTCTGCTGAATCAAAGAGTCTTTCCATATTCTTGTAGGTGTCACTATAGATATAAAAAATAAGTCAAGTACAATATTTTGGAAGAGGCATTTGCTCTTTCATGTTTATTAAAAATCTTTTTCTTTCTTTTTCTCTCTGTATCTCTTATCATTTTTTGTTTCTCCAGTTCTAGTGGTGTTCCTGACATCTCTGCAATCCATTTTGACTAGTCTTTTTTCTTATCCTCAAATTTCTCTTGTGGTCTTAAAATATAAGTTGCCTTTTCCAAAACCAATATTTCTTGTAAATTTTTTTCCACTTGGGTTAAATCATACTGCTTTGTTGTGTTAAGTTTCATCTTTGAGTCTCTATCCTCGAATTTGTGTTCAGTTATCTGTTTTATCTGCTCCTTCTCTATTGTTATTTCCTGGGATTTTTTTTGTTGTAAAGTTAAATTGGAGATGAATTGGTTTATGTTTTCAAAGTTATTTTGGATTTCTTTGTGGTTTGAAGTCGTTGTTTGAATTAGTTGCAGCATCTCATATATCTCCTCTTGAAAGGTATTTGTTTTTTCTTGATAAGTTCTTTCTGCAAGTCTCTGATTTTGCATAGTGGTCAAGAATTGAGGTTTTCGTTTCTCTGCAAATAGCTTTAGAGTCACAGTTTAGTAGATATTTATAATCCAAAAAGGTTCAAAGGGGTTTCTTGAAGTTTATAACCCTCTCTTTGCCTGCAACCCAAATTGTTTTCTTTTTTTGTCATAGCTGTTCCCTATTGTTATAGCTTTGAAGGTCACAAGCACATATTAGTTTTTTCCAGATTTTGCCAAGTCCTGTATAAAAGCCATAGCTGTAATAGTCTTTATCCACCACTAAATGTCAGCACCAATTTATTTAAGTTTAATAGTTTTATCTTTCAACGGAAATTTTACTCTTAGAATTGGTAAGTTGTTAAGGTTTGAATAGGTTTAAATCCAAAATATAAATAAAGTAAAGTAAAGACATACAAAACCAGGAGGTATTTTCCAAATTAAACGGCGAAGGCAATCATTTTCCCATCCCGTTTTTAGGGGGAGGAAGTGTAAACCTCCAAAATTGCTTCTTGGGAATTTTTTTTTCCAGGAAAGTTAATAAGTAGGATAGAGAAAATCGATGATCTTACCCAGATTCAAACGCGCTGTTTACAATCAGCTTAAAACAGTGCTTTTTGACTTTGGTTGCTTGTAGCTTGGGCTAGACTCTGAAGTGAGGCTAGCCTTTCTCCTGTTGGTTTCTGGAAGGCTTCTCCTGGACCGATCAGGTCGACCGCCATCTCTCCATGGTCTGCAGGACTTTCTTCCTTCTTTGCCGCCTCTTCGGGGCGGCTTCTGGCCCATTTAGGATCCCTAACAGGAAGAAAGTCAGCCAAAGGGCACGGAGCCCCCAAATCCCTTGGCTGCTGCGCTACTGCGCAAGACCGGAAGTCGCCATAGGTTATTTTAGTCGGGGCACAAATAGTATAGATATGCCTGCACTAGACACCTCTGTTCATTAACACATCTGGATTTAATAAATACAATGTCAAGCAGGACAAAAACTATGTCTGTATTTTTAATTACTAAAATTAACAGAATATGGCATGAACTTCTACAGCTACTACTTCTCCCCTTTTCCAAAACCAGAAGGCCTGATTTCTGCATTCCTATTAACTTTATCCTATAAATGACCTTGCAAGGAGAGTGATTCTAGAGGCTAAGTGAAACAATGTCTATTTTCTGAGGCTGTAGGCTAGGTTTTATTAATGTAATGTCTAAGATCTTTGAAGTTGTGACTTTACCAGGAAAATCACAATCTCCCAAACCTTTATTCATAATGGGTATGACTTCCAGGGGGAACAGAATGCCTGCTGTGCTAATTATTTCAATTATCAGCTAGTACTAAAATACGTAATGGATTTTCTCTGCCTCAACAGGTAAAAGGCATGACATTATGGAAGTTAATTCTGATGTTCTGAACTTGATCTCACATGCTACACAGGAGAGATTAAGAGGACTTCTAGAAAAACTAACTTTAATTGCTCAACATCGTATAAGGACCTATAAGGTAAAAATAATGATTGCCAAGTTTCAATTTGTCCTTTTAAAATAACGGTACCCTGGAATGATTCATCTTAATTTATCCTGAAGAATTTATGTTCACAGGACCTGGATTGTATACACTGTGCGAAATCTTGATAAAACAAGATGGGAAGGAGCCAAAAGCCTTGTAGCCTTCTGTAGACTCCTGATTCTTTTGCTTTTATTTGTAGGGAGAGAAAAGTGCATTAACCATTGTAATCACTAAGGATGGCATGTTTTACTTGGATAAGGTCTGGCAATATAGAAATTGAGCATAGTCATATGGAAGTTTAAATATGTAAACAGATTTTTTCCCTTTTGGTTAAGTAAAACATTCATTTTTGTTTAAGTATTATTCCATACAGTTATTTGGGAATTTTTGATTAAGATAAAGATAGGCAGCCTGCAGCCTTCAGAATCCGTAGGAGTTGGGCACCAATGCATTTAAATAAATAAATAAATAGCCTTCATATAATTTTATAAAATCACTGACAAACTCTATTCTGTCCATTCCCTTTAATAGACAGAGAAAGGTACACACAGCCACTTAACAGCCATTCATTTAGTGATCATTCTAAATTACAATGTAACTTTCTAAGTTACAAAGTTTCTGTTCTTATTATCATTGTACCATTCCCATGATCATGTAATCAAAATTCATGCACCTAACTGGCATGTTTTTATGATGTGTGTATCATTCCGGGGTCATGTGATCAACTTTTGCATTTTTCCCAACTGGCTTTAGAGAAGCAAAGTCAATGGGAGAAACTGGATTCACCAATGTTAAGTATGATGTATTTAACAACGGCAGTAATTCACTTAAGAACCATGGGGGGGGGAAAGGTTGTAACTGCTTTGCTTAGCAACTGAAACTCTGGACCCCATTGTGGTCATAAGTGAAAAACTCCCTCCATTAATCAGACACTCATAATTTATCAGCTCCATAACTTTTTCCTAAAGAGTTTACCCCTGCCTTTTTACATTTGACTTATTTTGAAGTTAGACACTTAAAATCATGTGTTTGATAATTTTTAGTATCAGGAAGCATGCTATCACAAGAATGCTTTTTCAGAAAAAAAATTCAGCAGTAATGTAAACTTTATCAGAAAACCATTTTTTTTGTATTAACTGCAACTGCCTTTATTTATTAAAAAATCCAATGAGCCCAGTTACATGGCAGTTAGAACAATGAGACTGCTGAGCTGTCTTTGAAGTTTCTGCAAAGGATTTTCCCAGGAATGAAATGAAAGACAACTTCTATTCGGGTGCCACAAAGGGATATGCAAGTGAATAAAAAATTGAATTCATTATGAGTAAAGGGCGTTTGCACTTTAAATGCTTCCAGAAAGGAAACACAGTTAGCTAAGTGACTTGTCAAATATGTAGCTCTTTATCCCTAAAAGGTTCTTGTTTTCTATGATTAACAAATCACTGTATTCTATGTTGTTTTGTAATTAAATAGATCCTTATGTTGAAATCAGAATTTTGTTGTGCATGTAACAAATTATGCTCTTTTTCTTTTTAGGGGAATGACGAGTACATTTTATCTAATGATACGCGGTCTCAGCTTCAGTTTCTTGAACAATTGGATCAGGTTGAGAAACGGAGGAAAGATGAAGAAGAAAAAGAACAGTTGCTCCGGGCAGCCAAGGTGAGAGAATTCAAAAGGCAAGGAATCGCAGCGGAAATCTTTTTTTCTCTTTGTTTTCTTGTTGGAATTATTTTACTTCTTATCTTTCTATGTTAAGGAAGTAATGTTTAAAACATGCTGCAGAAAGGATGATATATTAAGCCTGTTCTATGTAGTAAATACCAATATCCAGGCAGGTCCCCCTCTCCTGTCACCATGTAGGGATAATTTCTGGAGTTCCCCCTGGAAGGAGGAGGAGTCTCCTTAAGACTACCTAATTAATGAAAAAGATAAACTATACAAGTAGTTCACGACTTATGACAGTTCATTTAGTGACCAAAATTACAAATTATTGAAAAAATGACTTGTTTTTCACACAACCATTGCAGCATCCCCATGGTCACGTGACATGATCAAAATTCAGATGCTTGACAACTGACTCATATTTATGACGGTTGCAGCATCCTGGGATCATGTGATCATCTTTTGCGACCTGACAAGCAAAGCCAATAGGTAAACCAGACTCATTTAACAACCGTGTTACTAACTTAACCATTGCAATGATTCGCTTAACAAACTGTGGCAAGAAAGGTTGTAAAATGGAGCAAAACACACTTAACAAATATCTCACTTAGCAACATAAATTTTGGGCTCAATTGTGGTCATAATTTGAGGATTACCTTACAAGAAAACTGAAGTTAGCTTCTCTAAAAAGAGGCAAGAGCATGTAAATAGAGTGGCGGGGGGGATCCCAGGAAGTAGGTTATTGTTAAAGCAAATTGTGGTTCAGCCTCAAGAAAATAGCCAGTGGAACACTTAGTTCTGGAAGTGTTGAGTTGGATGGAAGTTTGATGGTGGATGGAACTCATGGTACCGAGAGGCACAAGTTGAAATTAACAGCTTCCACTTAGCTAATGGGATAGATTCCCTTCTGCACAAGATCATGGTCTCACTTCCTTCCCATAAAATATTCCAATCTTACAGGTGTCAGCGGCTATCTGGCCTTTAGCCAGTATTTGCAGACATACTGAAAACATCTGCTGGCTGATCATCTTTATTGACCTCGTGGCAGATACATTTTAACCGATTATCACAACCCGTATAAATGGCTCTATTTTTAAATCTACCTCATTCTGGAAAAAGGGGAGTTTAAAATTAGGCCCCCTAAGGCAGTCTGCTGTATTATTTCAGCAGAACATGGGGCTAGAGCATTCTTTTTTCCCTTCTGCCTTTCTTTTCCTTTTCTCTCCCCAAGTGTCTGTTCCTGACATGAACATCATCATGCCTACGCTGGACCTGACTGACAACGTTAGCATCATTTTTAGTTCAAGCTTCCTCTGAGCTACAAGCAAGGCAACAGTCCCTGATGAAAGGCTGTTTGGGCACAGAGGGGTGGGGGAGAACCGAGGCAGTCTGGCTTGCGGCCTGAAGCCCCTAGAGCTAAGATTTCCAATCAGAACAAAAAACTGTAGCTGATTAAATATTTAAAGATAATGTTTGTATTTTGGGTAACTTCCATTACATTTCATTTTCTGCCTCCCTCCCTCCCTCTCTCCCTCCCTCCCTCTCTCCCTCCTTTTTTTAATAGAGCCGTTGCAATAAAGACGATCCAGAGCAGCTGCGTTTAAAGCAGAAAGCCAAAGAGGTACGACTTTCAAGTTACCAGGTTTGGCTTCGTGTTAGGAGGAGAGGTTGGCAGGCCTCCCCTGGCAATTAGGTCAGGGTTTATTTTGCTGTTGCATACCATTTGTGGAGGCCTTGGGGAAGGACAGGAACTGCTGCAGGCAAGGGCAACGCTTCAAATGAGGCCAGTGAATTTATCAGCTCTTAACACTTTACTTTCATAGTTCACAAATAACTATTTCTAAGCAGAGCTCAACTCCAGCAATGTGCTGGATAGGAATATAATGTGGGATTAGGAGGGGGAAGAAAAGACACTTTAAGATTTAGCATCTGGGACTGTACAATAGCCTACATTTTTCCAGGGTAATTGTTCGTTTTGTAAATCTGATACTGCTTATAATTCTTTGGCTGGGAGGTGGTACTGGGATTTAGTTTTAAATGGAAAACGCCTCTGGCTTTTAATTTTCTGGGCCCAGCAGTTTTCTGTTCTGGAATGGAGCCCTTGTTTCACACAGTTCATGTTTAGCTGCAGGGGTTTTAGTTTATAGCTTAGACTGGTTAAGCTGTTACTCCCAGAGGCCTCTGCATAGCAACTGCAGAAATCAACAAATAAGTTCATTTATGTCTGCTGCAGCCTCCTCTCAGTAGCTGACTTTTTACATTTCCCAATATCCATTTCCTGACTTTTTTAGCCGGAGAGAAAAAAGCTCCACTAATTGGAGCTTATTTTAATTGAGCCTTAATATTGGATCTCGCTGGAGTTGCCCCCAGAGCTACTGGGAACAGAATTAAATGAAAATACCTAAGGTTGAAAACTGTGTGAGTGAGAATTTTTTTTTTAACTTGACCTACAGATTCTTTTCCTCCACTGAATAAATCAAGCCTGTTCACATTTCTGATTAAGGATCTGACAGAAAACAATAATAAAGACAATTGAGGTGGGAGATGTGTGATACTGAGCTTAAGAAATTGGTTTCTATAGTTACTTGAGTGATTCCGGGCCATTTTTTTTAAAGGATCTTTGTAGTAAATGAGTGATTTTTCTGAACAACCTTTTTCTTAACTGTGCCTCTTGAACTATGAAATTTGTTGTTGCTTAACATTGCTACGGTTGGCTTCTAGATGCCAATAGTAGCAGCAGTGGGTTATTTATGGATGCTTTAAAAGCCCTTATTGCTTGGATTAATGTAAGAGGTGAGGCAAAATAAATAGCAATCCAGTAAAATGGTCTGAAAATCAATGCATCAGTTTCCAGCCAAAGCAAAGAAAGGCTCCTAGATGAGAAGGAGTGAAGAAGTAAAGGTGCATGCCATTCTTTCATGTCAAAAGGGTTGCTGCACGTTGCCAACTTTAACAAAAGTGACCTGGTCTTTAGGTCTCATTGGTTTCCATTAGGACCTGCAAAGCATTCTGTGGGGGCAGCATTTGGCTTCCTATGTTTCTTTTGGAACAAAGGGGTGGTGTGTGAACTGCTGGAAGTCTGTAGGCTGGAATTAGAAGGAAATGTAGGGCATTTCAGGATAAAAAAACAGAGTTCTCAGGTCAGATCGTGTCACTATAGAGCATATGCATGTTACCATATAATTGAAACGCCTTACATGCTTGTTCATATTGGTCCCTCTTAAAAATATTCCTGGCAGTGTACTTGACATATGTTTTATTGCAGTAAACGTAGGTCAGGGATCTCTAAACTTGGCAACTTTAAGACTTGTGGACTTCAACTCGCAGAATTCCTCAGCCAGCCAGCTTTGGAGACCCCTTGTTTTATAAAATAAACTAGTATGATGAGCATTGCTGGATCAATGTACTGTTGTGTACAAAAATACATCTCCCTATTTTTATGAGTTTACAGCCCAGAATCCATGATAAAGGAAATCAGGAGGAGGAGGCACCAGTGCATAATGTACTTGTATCTAAGCATCTGTAACTATCAGGCCATAAGGACTAAGCATTGATCAAAGGCTAGAATGGGGAACTCAGCGCAGGACAGGTTATAGCAGGGGTAGTCAACCTTGGCTCTTTTATGACTCGTGGACTTCAAATCCCAGAATTCCTGAGCCAGCTAAGCTGGCTCAGGAATTCTGGGAATTGAAGTCCACGAGTCATAAAAGAGCCAAGGTTGACTACCCCTGGGTTATACTAATTTATTTGAAAAATGACATCTTACTGAAGAGGATTGTGGGATATTTGAAGAAAGTAAATGATCCTGCAGTGTCAGATATTGCTTATGCAGTTGGTAAAATGCACATAAACCAAAGGGCACGAGTGTAGCACATCTCTCCCTCTAGAATAAAATTGCTGAATGAAATAAAGGTAAAGGTTTCCCCTGTCCAATCATGTCTGACTTGAGGGCACAATTCCCATCTCCATTTCTTAGCTGAGGGAGCCAGTTTTGTCCAAAGACACTTCCGTATGTCTGGAGATACTAGGTTGGGGAAGGCTGTATATCAAGACACTGTTTATAGATGTGATTAATTGCTCTAAGACAGAGTTAATTATGATGAAGCTGACATAAGAACAGTGACCATGATTTTATTACCAGAAAATTTCAAAAATCTAGTTCAAGATATAAATATAGCTAAACCACTTGGGAGTAATATTTGCACTAGCACTGAGCTTTAACTTTAATGTAATTGGAAAGGTGCCTAGAAGGTTCAAAATGCACATCTTGCATTTCAAAATGTAAGAATTTTTTTTTAATAAAATCATTATAATTACAGAAAAGTGAAAGTACTTCATACTTCATACATGCAGAAAGTTCTGCATACAAAGTTGCATATAGCAACAACACTTAGCAATAGCAATTAGACTTATATACCGCTTCATAGTGCTTTATAGCACTCTCTAAGCCATTTACAGAGTCAGCATATTGTCCCCAACAATCTGGGCCCTCATTTTACTGACCTTGGAAGGTTGGAAGGCTGAGTCAACCTTGAGCCGGTGAGGATCAAACTCATGGCAGTGGGCAGTGAATTAGCCTGCAATACTGCATTCTAACTATTGCGCCTCCACGACTCCTGCATATGTAAGGAACCCGCAAGTTTTATTAAAAGCTTCTACAATAGAATACAATAGGGAATTTTAAAAAATGTCACAAATTAGAAGGATGATTAACTAATCCAAGAAATGCTAAGATATGTCAATACTAATGTCATCAAGTATAATAATGGAAAAGTTACTTTAAAAAAAATACATATAGATGAACTAATTTTCTGGGAAAACTAGTACAAATTGACATAAAGAAAGGAACTGAAAGAGGAAATACATTTTAAGAGAAACAGGACCAAGAAGTCACATGGGACTTTTAAACATTTTGGGTATCAAAGGAAATAGGAAGATTGACATGTCCATCTATTACTTCCATTAGTTGTTAATGTTTGGCTTTTATTGCTGCTCTGCCCTTTTAGTTTACACCTTCTCGTGGTTTGTTTTATGTTTTTAGCCACTTGGAGGAACATATGGGATATATATTCTCCAATATATTTCTCTCCAATAAATCATGAATGCCACTTTTTTCTTACCATAAGTTGCTTGATATATCCTTTTTAAATAGTTATTTCAGGCCCATCATAGAAAGCAGACATACAACATTTCAGTGCTAAGAGAACATTGGTTGTTTTATGTTGTATGCAGAAGGATGAGATCCTTGCAGAAGGATGAGAAGGCATGGACGGACCTTGGCTGCTTTCTGATAATGCAGAAAGCCACAAGAGAGTTGCCAGGCTTCCCCTGCTTTTATCAGCTTTTGTCCCCTATGTTTGGTCTAGTAGTTAAGATGATGAACTAATCTTAGCCAAGGCCGATAAGCTCTATGTAATATTTTTAGTCTTGCCTTAGGCATGAAAACGAACTAGGTGACTTTGGGCGGGTCAGCCATTTTCAGTGCTAGGAGAAAGGGCAATAAAAAACCTTGTCCAAAACTTCTGCCAAGAACACTTCATGGATTCTTTGTATAGTCACCAGGAGTCAAGGCTGATTCAAAGGCAATCCGTCCAACCCAAATAAGACATTACAATATTTTAAGGAAGCAACAGACTAACCTTCTAGAATTGGACCATCATTGTTAGATACAATACATTAGCTTCTTTATTTTACTGTGAAAAAAAAATATCATTTTTGTTGTTGCACTTATAAACAATCCTTTGCAGAAATACTTCTTAATAAATGTCTTCTATTTTCTGTTACCTTGCTCCTAGTTTTCTATGGAAGCTTTTAGAATCAGCTTTCTGAGTCTGGGTATATACTCTTCAAGTGGGTGGACTTCAACATGCCGAACTTTAGAAAGGCTGTTCTAAATTATCAGCATCCAATCAAATAGGATACATAAGATGTGCTATGCTGCTGATGTTTTTAGAGATAATTTAAGTGGCCTTGTTTTTCAGGAACCTGTGCATAGAATTAGATAAACTCAGTTGAACATTGCTACGTATTAGACAGTTTTCTACATTTCTAAATCTACAAATTCTGATAGTAGATTTTAGTTACCATCACCTGACATAATGGTTATGATATTAGCTTTTTTATCTTTGGATCACCAGTGTTTATGGAGTGGAAAAACTGTTAATTACAAGAAAGACCATGTACTTTGTTGTATTCATCATCAATAGGACAGGCAGATTAAGCAAAGCCTTTTCATTACAATTCATATTTTGACAGGTAAGTTTATAAATTAGATTTCCCAGACAATACATTTTAATGGTAGCAGTAACCAGTTATCAGGAGTTGATGATTATATATTTCTTCTTCTTTGGAAGAAAATGAACGTATTTTTAGCTCATCTTTGGATGATGGAAAAGTGCTATAGTTTTTCCAAGATAGCAAGCAGCACCTTTATTCAACTCTCCATCAGATGGCACTGGCCTTTCATTTCCTTGAACCAGTTTTCTTAATCTGTGTGGTTCCATACTTTACTTGCAAAACACACATTAAAGCATAACAAGCCTTTGTGCTGTGAACTGTAAAAATGTTAATGCATGTGTTAAATGATATTAAAAAGATCACTTCTATAATGTGGATGTTTATTGCCTCTCTTTGAGCCCCTATGCATATCCTACTCTCCAAGGATCTGCAAAATTCTTCCCCTGTTCAATAATATCAGTTTTATACTTTCCTTTATTATATTCATGTCTCCATTAAGTAGCAACAGATAACTTAACAGTTGCCTACACATTCTTATTACCACAGTCACTCTCTATTTCTTTCATGTTTAGGCACTGTCTTCACTGGGAAAAGCACACTTCAACCTTGTAGGATTCACTTTATGTTCTTCAGAGTCTGAGGTTACTTGAAGATATTGCCTTTGGAGATGCTCTGCTGTTTTCCACAATATGACTTGTTTATTTCCTCTAAGTTGCAAAATGCTTGTTCCTGTATTGTGCTATTGCAAACATCTTTTTTCCCCATCTTGATAGATAATCAATTATTTTCTTGAACCTCAGTCAGTCTTTTGAATCTTTTTAGAATGCAGACAATGATAGTCTGAAATTATAGGCATTCCATCAAACAGCTAATATTAAAATATATATTTGAAAATATATGAATAAAAAAATACAATTAAAATCAAAACCATTTTTATTTTTATATCTATTTCAATCTATCTGTATCAATCATAAACGCTAATATAAGTAAAATGTTGCTTTAAAGTTTTACTCTTCTTTAGTGGTTTGGAAATTTTACCTATTGGGCTAGATTTAGAAATGTAGTTAAAATATTAGGTGATGTAAGCATGCTACAGTAGGAGAGGATGCTGAAGAAGGACAAAGAATACTGTTAGATACATTTGTAAGACAAGAAGAAAAGTTATAAAACTAAAGATAGATAAACTGAGTTTAGGGGAAGAGTTTAGCAGCTGGCTATGGAAAAACCTCACTGAAAGACTACAGTATTAGGGTTTGAGGTTATAGTATAGTTAATAGGGATTCTGCCTAGTAAAGTTGGTGCTGACATATGCCATGATTGCTAATTCCACATGGTAAATGGATGAATATGTGATGGTGATAGGTGAAATAGTGTAAACACCTTGAGTTTAAAGGGCAGATGGACTAATCATTTTACTTGTCCAACATTAGGCTTGTGAGTGAAAAACAATAAAGATTCCCTTAGATGTAAAAGAATCATTCAAGTGTTACTGAATATTGTAGGGTGTTCTATATTCTTGCACAGGATAAAGCTTACTTTGGAGAACAATGTAAGAGAACATTTTAATATTCAGCTAAATTCTAATGCGGCTATCTCTAAGTTAATATTCTGCAAATAGTTCAGGATTTCAACTTCCACAGTTTCCAGCCTAGTGTTTGGTCAATTGTAATCCAAATACATCTGGAAAGCATTGGTTTGGGGAAAAGCATTCCTGAAGTGAACAAAATCATGTTTCAGTTCACCTGGCAACAAACTGTGGTTTCTATGGGCATTTTAAGCTTGCATGGATCTTAAGCAACAGGTAGATAACGTATCTGAACAAAAAGTAGAGGGAAGTGAAGGTGATGCAGTGAAATGTTATAAATGAAAAATTTAATTTGTACAAAATAAATATTTTTTCTTAATGCTGAACAGAGCATACCGGAGTTCCTTTTTTAAATTCCTTTGTGCGACTGTAGCTTGGCTGCATGTGCTATCTAACTATTGGGAAGGGCTTTAAAAATATACCTCTACTTTATTTGTGCTTCAGGTCAGATTAACTAAAATGGTTATTGTGTCACCTAGAAACTACTTGATTGCTTCAAGACTAGACTTTAAAAACCCTATATGTTATTATTAAAAAGGCCAGGAGCAACAAAGACCATTTTACCATTTCTGCAATGTTTTCATGGCAATTTGATCTTTACACAGGTTTTTAAAAAATCTTTGTACTTGGAGCTGATGGAAAAATCGAAGAAGGAAAATGGTTTTGAAACGCTTTCTCTATGGCTCCTGATTGTCTTTTTTTGAGTGAATATATAAGGATGAAGCTAGAAGTATCAGTTAGCTTTGTGGGGACTTGCTTTATTTAGTTTAAGAACACATATCTTCCCCCATATGCCTCAGTAACTGATGTTTATCATTATTAATTCTGTCAGGAGATAAAGGCGCATAGGTGTGGCTCACATATACACAGTTGTCATAATTTACAACAAGACAGTACATTTATATATGAGAGGATAGCTATTTAAGCTTTTTATAAGTAGCCTCCAGAATGGAATCTAAGTAAATATTTATATTTCAAAGCTGCCCTTTGCAAGAAGGAAGCTAAAATATCTGTAGCAAAATCCAAAATTACTGTAAAACCTGGTGCATAAAATATCTATTTTAAAATAATACGTTGATTGATCTGACTGGGTTTAACAGTTTTGGACCACATTTCTTATATGATAAAAATCCTACTGGAATAATTTCTTAATGTATAGTAAAGAGGGATGTTGTGAACAGTGCAGTCTGAATGTGATTCTGACCCAATATTTTTTGTTTGTTTGTATGTTTAGGACTGATAAAACTTCCCTGCTATTTAAAGAGCAGGTCAAAGGGGGGGGGGGGGAAAGCTGATAAAGCCCAAGGGTAAGCTTTCATTATATTCAGATTTATTTGTTCATAACTTTTTCTTAATCTTAGATGCAACAATTGGAATTTGCACAAATGCAGCAAAGGGAGGCTAATCGGGCAGCCCTGGAAGCTCTTGGGCCAAGAAAGAAGAGACCACTGGATTTGTCTAGTTCTTTTTCTGGACTTGAGGTTTGTAACGTTATGGGTTTTTTCCCCTTCTGCTGCATTATCTTCACCAGCTGAACCTTGTTTCTATTTTTTGTAAAGAGTATGGTCTGCTTAAGGAATTCTTTTATAGTAGCGTTTTTTATCAGTTTCATAGGAATCATCTCTCTGAATGGTGTGGTGGTCTAGTGGTGAAGACGCTCGCCTCTCCTTGGAAGGTTGAGAGTTCAATCTTAGGTAGTGTCAGATGTGTCTCTCCAAGGGCACGAAGAAAAAATATCGGCTGTGAACTCCACAGTGTGTCAGGAAGGGCATCCAGCTAGTAAATGCTCAACTTCATTCAATCACCCCCAACTCTACCCCGAATTAAGGGATTACAGGATTGTAAAACGGGAAGTGTTTTTTAATAATCAGTTCTCTATTTGGCATCCAGAGAACTGGACTTGATTGTGTGGTGTTCTGTCAAGGAAGTAATCCTGCAGCAAAATATGTTGTTAAGGAAAATGTATATAAACAAAGCTTATAAAAATGCTTTCCTAGAATCTTCCTATAAAATTCTTATGGGGTGTTGCACTATTGGTTTCCCAGTGTGAAAAAGGGTTGAAAAGTCCAGTAATATAGAAGAACACCCATTATTCCCATTGAAAGCTCATCTGCCCACCCTAAGGAATGATCTTAGAATTTTTTTCAGCAGTAAATCTTCCTAATAATTTTGGCTGTGCTCCAAATAAATGTTCATACAATGATATCAACAGATTTGCATAGATTTAAAAATACATTTTTTTTCTAGGAAAAAATTGCTTTCACCTGTTAAAAAAAAATCCCAGTCAAAGCAAATAAAAATGTTTTCTCACAGTGCCTCTTTAACTGCTGTCACTATTTTTAATACTTTTGATTGAGGGGCCCTCAGATAATCAAGTGAAAGGAGGATTAGAATCGCCAAGTTCACATGATTGTAGGTGCATCTGTCATGTGTTTAGTTTGGATATACCTCCAAATATATTGCTTTCAGTCCATTATGTAACAAACATAGCACTTAAATTCTGAGCCTTAGTTCAGAAAATTACGTTCTTCTAATCATATATGCTGTACTAAGAGAACAGAAGGCTTGCTTGATATTTCTGGGTAGGGAGTCTATATATTCCCACAGCTTCAGATGTTCAAAATATGCCTCACAGTCTTGAATGTGGAGTTCTGAAGACTCTTTCAAAAGTTGTCACTAAAGTGTAATGTTTAATATGACAGAGGAAACTACTAATTGTAATATGACAGGGGAAACTACTATTAACCGTATTTAATATAATTTTATATTTGTATTTATTTTGCTCTAAATTCTTTTTCACTTAGAATTTATGTTCACCAGTTTTTGATTATCTGGAAACCCACTGCCACTTGGTGGTTTTCCTAGCTTCTGAGAATAATAGTTGTATACAATATTCAGACTTGGTAGATCTCTAGATGAGGTTATTTCCTTTTTAGAAACCAATTGGGCAAGCTGCCACCCCTGACTCTTAGGGCTTACAGTCTTTTTCTGAATAGTTTTGTTTTATGGCTAAGAGTCATTAAGGTTAAGGAATTGCAATCACCACTTTCTCTGTATCTAATTCAATATTTCAATACCACAATTGTGCTTATGTAGCAAAAGTGGCAATGAAACAATAGAGGGAGTAACCTCAAGGTTTGCAGAAACGCCCCCAAAAATTAGCAGGAGAAAGAAAATCTAGTTTGAGAGGAAAGAGAAAGCCAGTGGATATTGTGCAGAATGTTGACTGAGAGGGTCAAATTGAAAGAGGGTTGGAAGGATAATGAATTTCTGTGATTGAAAACCTAGGAAAAAATAGAGAAAAAGATCATAAATAAGTAGATATGCAGAGGGAACTGTCTTATTGTCTTGATAAGTGAGTAAGTTCATACAGAAACTTCATAAATTATTCTAACTAGAATGAGAGTAGTCTATGGAAATCAGAACAGAATCTCAGATTTTAAAAATTGAAGTACATCCCACCCCCAAAAATTGGATGTTTATGGTTCTTCTAGATGAGGAAAATGTTGAATAGGTATTGTTGGTTGTGCTTGCTAAAAAAAGATATTGAAAAATTGTGAAATAGAATGTCCAGAATGTTAAAGCATACAGAGGACACGTGTAAGCAGAAGACCAACCCAGCTAGCCCACAAAAGCAAATTAACACACCAGTGGGAAATATTAACTTGCCTTTGAGCTTGGGTGTATAATTTTAATAAATTAGTAGCTATCTTCTTTATGTGTAAAGAATGAGCTTTTATCTCTCTTAATTACTGCTGAAAGATTTGAAATCATGAGCTTGGTATAACAGCTTTCCCAGGTTCCTCCCATCACAATTAAACTTTTCATTAGGTAAACCATTATGTTTACTATTAAGCAGGAAGAGGCTGCATAAGAGCAAGGTAGTAATTATTTCTAGCTTTTCCTTTTGTATAATGCTAGAGGGTTTGTAATGGGTGCCCCTTGGACATATTCTTGCTGTCACTGATGTGACTCCTTTCTTATTAAACCCCTCTGGTGTAATCCTATATAACACTATTGATGAAAATGCCTGTGGCAATGGAGTCATGCATCAGAACAATAGAATTCAACATTTTGTGCTACACGAGCAGAAGTACATTTAGGCGTACTGTACGTGTACTTTGCATATTTATAAAATGCCTAGGAAATACAGCAATTGCAAGTTAGTGATTTCATTAGTTGTATAGGGATGTACAAGTCACTTCAGATAATAAAATGGCAAATTAGAGTTTGCTAGAGTGGGCTCTAAACAAAGAACAACAATGAGAGCAGCAAGGAGGTATACCTTAAAACTTGTATCTATTGCATTAAGGGTTCAGGTTTTTAGATGGATGACTAAGCAGCCTTGCTTTTCATTTTTGGCCATTCAGAGAACCTATGTGTGTTTTATGAATGAAAACAGGATATTTTTCTCAAATGTAAATTTGACACATAAGCTTTGAGGGAGAAGCTTTGTCTTGTGGGAGAGGGGATTAGTAATAGGTTTGCCAAGTATTTCTCTGAAGATGCTTTTTAGAAACAAAAGTGGGGAGGGTGGATTCTATGGTATCCACTAGAGATCTTAAAGGGCCATTGGCATTTATCCCACCCACTTGCCACCAATATTCATAACATTTCCTTGAAATGCTGGAAACTTTTTTCATGTATACCATTCTTTCTCACCATAAGATGCTGAAGCTTATAGTATTCATTGCTTGCCAGGAGTGTGTTTGAGCTGTTCCCTGAAAGTATTCATCTTCGGACAAATTTAAAAGTGATGCTGCTATGTTGGAAATGAATATAAGGATTTGTACAGGCATGTGTAACTTAGAATATTTCATAATTATCAAGTAATTTGGAAATCTTGAAGCAGAATGCTTGCATTGCAGTCATAACAAGGAAGACAAAACATCCTGATATGTAAACAATATTTTGTTCTGTTCAGCAAAGAAAGGATGGCCTTGAAGTAGAATATGGCTTGAGGGTCTATGCGCACTAATTGCATATTTTCAAAAAAGTTGGCTAACTTAAATATGTAGAACTGAATAATTTGAATACAAGAATGCATATTTCTAAAACAGATAAATCTCAAGAATAAATTAGTTTCACATACATGTTTCCCAACTCCAGTTACTGATCTTATCAGTAGAGAATAAGGCAATGCTAATTTTCCCAAATTATTCTTTGAATTTTAGCATATATAGTTCAGAATGTAATGAGGCATCTTTTGTTTCTGTCCAGTTGGTCCATGCAGCAAGTCTCTTAAATAGCTCTCTGGGCTTGAATGGAAGATGTCATTTCTTAGCTAGTACTGTATACTGCTCGGACACCTATAAAATGGTTTGGACCTGAGCCAAAAAAAAATCAAAGGAAAAAATGGTCTCCTTCTCCAGCAGGAATGGTATAGGGCAGGGGTAGGCAACCTTGGCTCTTTTATGACTTGTGGACTTCAACTGGGGGTTCTTCAGCTTCAAGGAAATATTAAATTAAATGCTAAGAATAAAGAAAGTCTAAAGCTTTATATAATATGTCACTACCTTACTTTGACTAGTTTAAATGTAGCAGCTTATAGGGCTTTTGCACATTCCCCAAACCCACTCATGAAAATTAGTGCAGCTGAATTAATGCAAATTTGGGAATTCATGATTAGGACATTTTAAAACTTGAGTTTTAAAGAAGCATTATCCTTATTACATCTCCAACAAATGTCTTTTCCTATACAAATGTTAAGTTGTGCAATTAATTTTAAGTGTTATTTTTGTTATAAAAGTCATAGTTTAAGGTCCATTGACACTCTTGCTATAGAGGTTAAGACACTCTTCTATTGTCTGGGAAATATAGGAACCTCTAATTTTGTATTCCACTCATTTCTTAGCATCTGGATCTCAACTTGATTTATTGATAACAAATATATATATAAAGGAATAGTAGGCTTTTTAGTTTTAAAGGATTTAAACAGTTATTCTAGTATCTCTGATGTCTTGAAAGCTGAAAACACTGCTAGTCTAAACAAATATACTGTAAATATTGCTATTGAATTACATCTAATAGATGATATTTATCACTTAACACAGCATATGTTAAAAAATTCATCTACGTATTTCATGGATATGTATATATATATACAGTATGTATGCATGCATGCTTGCATGCATTTCATTATTTATTTTCAGTTGACCTGGGAATCAGATGGGGAAATTCCATTGTGGAGGTAACTGCTAGATTGATGGCAAACTGCATTTTCTGCCCTCATGCTCTCTCCCATCCATCTTTTTGCTTATCATATTGATGTATTATTATCATTGTTTTCCTTTGTTGTTGTTTGTTTATTGTTCTGTTATTTTACTTCTCTTTACACTTTTTTCATTTTTCTTACTTTCCATTATTGTAAACTGCCTTCAGTAGCCCCATGGCAAGATATGCAGCAAATAAATTTAACAAATAAGTACATTTGATTAGCCAAAGCTCTGTATATATATAGGAAAGTTGGTAATTGCTTCATAATGTGGATGTAAATTTTGTATTGCCAAAACCAGTGCAATCCTCCCTCGATTTTTTGAGGCTTCTCAAGTTTTCAGGAGGCAACCTCAATTTTACATCCTTTAATCTCCCCTTTTGTCTTTCTTCCTGTTATGCCGGAAACTGCATATTTGCAGACTAGCGTAATGATCGTATTTCCTGTATTTCTGAAAATGATTATAATGCACAATACCTTGCCCTTTTAAAAGTAGTTTATCCTGTCATTTATTTTTATTTTTCAAAAGTAATGAAATTTAGACTTTAGCATTGGTTTCCATTAATAGTGCAGTTCATGGAAAATCATAAAACACCAGGGTGGTTATTGGCATTTCATATTCAATGATCTCATTTGAGCCTCCAATAGCTGTCAAACCTATAAGTGCAGCCTTGATCAGGAGTCCATCATTGAAGGATGATAATACTGCAACATTCTGCCAAATTACATTGGTTGTCCAGATGAAAATATGTCAGCATGAGGGACTAGAAAGAAGTTTTTCTTTTTTGTGGCCCCGATTTTTTTATATATAGTAGAGGAGGGAAAAATAGATTAGCATCTACTGGCAGATGTATTTGTTGATCTTGCATAAGATATTTCATTTCTAGCAGTTTACAAAATTTCAGGTTAAAAAGTCTCAGTTGACCTTCTATTAATTGCTTTTCCCTATTCCAGTTTGTTTTTGTTTTTTATCTGTAAAATAAGCCTACTTGCTTTTGTGCCAGTTTACCATTGAATTATTAATTACCGTATATTATTGTTATAATTATAATAAATAATTAATTATTTAAATCCCTGATCTGTAATAACTCACATGATAGTCCAACTCACCTCATAGGGTTATTGTTGTAGGGAAAATAGGACAAGGAAGGAACATTAGGTATGTTTGTCACCTTGAGTTATTTATAATATTAATGAAGTTGGTATAATAAATTAATTAACTATTTTTTAAAAAAAAATATGAGTTCTTTCATTTTGATAATTGTTTTGTATGACCTTGGTAGGAAACCTGGTCTTATAAAAAAAACTAAAAACAAAAGTAGATCTATAAAGCCTGTAATCTACTCAGTTTTAATCTCATTATTCTGAAAGAATGCACAGATTTACTGTTGCAGAAAATCTGTTTCTCTGGGAAGCAAGGAGAATGTTAACATGTGAATCATTTCAATAATGTAACTATGAATTTTCCCTTTGTGTTAGATGAAGCTTGAGCCTCATACTCATAATTCATATCTAATTGAGATGCTTTTCATTAAAATTTCTAGAAAATAACAAATATAATAGTTGAATGTAATTGAAAGAACTAATGTAGTTTTTATGGAGGAAAGGAATTCAGAAGGTGCTAAATTTTGTTTTTGGTTTAGGCTACATTTGTTGACATAAAAACCGTGGCGGTATAGTAAATAGAGCTATTCCAGACTACAATTCATAGGTTTGAGATATGTAACTCACTGGCAGAATATTCCTGCTATTCAGAAATGGAGCTTAATTATTTTGTGTAAAAGATCTTTGCAATTTAAATGACTAATTGTATTGTAGCTTTGGGCTAAACATATTGATAACATAAATGTTGATGGCATCTGCAAGGTCAAGATACTGATAATTTTGATTATAGTGCTTAAATGATCTGGCAAAAAGTCAAAATGCTTCAGTTTAATAATTGTCTATTAAGGCAACATGACATATTTTGTACAGTATTTGTTACCTCCAGGTATAGATTAAAGATCTGATGTAGCCACAGAAAGTGACAAGCATATATGAATCTTAGGCATAGTAGAG